TTATCAAAAGAGGTGTAAGACCAAGCAGAGAAAAGCTATGCCATTCCCACATACACAGAGAAGCTATCAGAATTGGCATTTTGAATTCAGGTTTGTTCTTAGCCCTCTTTAAGCTGTTCAGGAACTGTATGCATGGACAGGAAATGGGGACAAGCACTGTGTTTCTTCCAGCTCCACCTTTCTTGTTATTTGTGGGAATGGTCTGGGAAAAAAAATTATAACTGCATTCAGCTGAACAGCTGCTGTACCCCATAAGCTTGGGACTCAGATTGCATAGGGTTCCAATCCCATACAGTATAGTAAGAGTGCCCCTGCAGATTTTCCTCTTGAACCCAGAAAAGTTGAGAGCAAGAGGAAGGTGGAATGTAGGTCGCTGCCTCCTGCCCAAGAGTAGAATTCTGAACAACTGAGGAGGGCATTTATCATGGTCATCACGATGGATTTGAAACTGTATGTCTATGTTACAGTTAACAGTTAAGCCTGTGCTCCCAAAAGAGCAATAATTCTACCAATGTACTTATCAGTACTTATTTTACTGTTCTTTATGCAACTCTAAAAATAGTTCTTTGCAAACTCTTCATTGGGTTGCAAAGAGTTCTTTGCAAACCAAGAAAACATTAGGAAGAAATTATGTAAATAGATTCAGGGCTTTGCCTGGCTGTCTACCCATTAGCAAGAGCATTCTCTGAAAACTGAACTCCCATGCCCCCCTGAGCCACAGTGGCATTTTGAATAACTGCCATAGTTGCAGTGACCTACTTACAGGACAAGTTCCTGGGTAGACACTGTGAAGTAAAAAGTAAAACCTGCTTTAATAAATAAATAAATTTAAGTTGAGCTTTACTGCTCGTGACTAAATGAACATGTCCACATAGGCCCTTAGGGGACCTCTTCTAAATTAAAAAAATTATGACAGAAATCCAGTAATAGGCCAAGTAAAGGGCCAGATGTGAGAACTTCTGGGATATTTTATAGCCATCCAACAATTGATCCTAACTAGAAATTATTCTGTGATTTAGGATGTCCTTGAAGGATATTGAGAATTATAGTACAGGAACATCTGGAGGATCATCATTCCTCTATCTCTATGCTGAACCATGGTTCAGCAATGCACCCATGAATATGTACATATTTCTTCTGCCCATAAGGAGGAATGCCAACATTTGCGAATCACTATAAACATATTATACCTATCTTGTGGGCTCAGCATTGGTACCAATTGGTTTCTGGATGCAATTCAGAGTACTGGCTTTCACTTGTAAGGGTCCATATGCCTAGGCACCTACTTGCAGGACCCCTACTACAACCAAATATAGCCTATCTAAGGATGCTCTCCCACCGCTGCTATTGATATCCCATTTTTATTAGGTGAGGTGAGGCTAAAATCAAAGGTGCTGTTTTTCTGTTGCAGCACCTGTTTTATAGAATAGCCTTCCTCTAGAAATTAGGTTGGCCCCATCAGCGGCAGCCTTCCAGGAAGCTTTTAAAGACCAATCTTTTCCAGAAGGCCTTTGGGGAATAATTCTGTTACCATTACTTGGACAGGGCTGTCTGCAGGATATGGTAAAAAAAAGTCAAAACGGTGGCCACGATGGTGTGGTCAAAACTCCATCTGTTTTTTTATGAGTGTCACCTGTACTTGATGCACCTATACCTGTACTTAGATGTTGTTAACCCTACTAGGAAGGCCAGACTAGGAAATCAACTCCACAGGAAGGCTAAAACTACTTTTATCTAATAACAGTATCTTGCAAGTCTGATTGGGCTGTACCTCTTCCTCCTTCTTCTACTCCAGTGAATTGTGGTGTCTGTCTGAGCTGCTCCCAAATGTTATCTGGCTATTGTGGACTTAAAAAATGCTTCAACCCCTTTTGCCTAAGCAACAGCTTCTACACCCAGTGGTACCTCGGTTCACAAACTTAATTCGTTCCACGATTCTGGTCGCCAACCAAATTGGTTGCAAACCAAATCAAATTTTCCCATAAGATTCAATGTAAATAAGATTAATCGGTTCTGAACCATATGTATTTTTTTTTTAACCACAAAAATATGAAACAAAGTACAGTACAGT